TGTGATACACAACGTACTTCTACAAATCCTACTATTCACAACATATTCATTTCGTATCCACAAGAGTGTTACCGTAATATTTCCATTCGGATGTGAAGGTGGTAGCCAAGATACGGTATAACCACCTCGTTCACTCTGTAGTGTGACGGAAGATGGCGGGCTTCCTGGTCCACGGATTTGCACGGAGACTGATCGAGCTATTTGGCCGGCTGGATTTACCGCGACACATGTCAGGTTATCGCTGCGCGTCCTAAATTGAAGCCTAGTAGACACAAGCCAATCAGCATAATTGGTCAAACCTCGACTTCATCCTGAGCGACGATGACAAGTTCTGCCCATCATGCGTCGAAGTAGTGACCGTGTAGAATGCATGGTCAGGTTGGATTCGCTGTCCTGAATGGGTTTGTCTTTCCCTCAAATTGCCTACAAGCTTGTTATTCGTTTCGAAAGATAACTTTTACACTCTGAGACGCGTTCCTTCACTACTTCTATTTTTTCTAGCCTTTACGCCTTCGCTAAATGGGTGGCATGAGTTTTTGTGGAAAGCACCGCTCCCGCCAAGACGCTCCGCCCACCGCAAATGGGTCTTCTCCATTTTATTTGTTGAACAATCCCTTACCCTTGTTGTTAGGGCTGTGACGGAACTAATCAAAAAGGTACCGCCCACTTGAGCATGTGTCCCGCCTCCAGGCTCCGCTAAACTCCCATGTGCTCTGTTGGCCATGCCTATGTCCAACCCATTTCAAACTCTACCCAAGCTCTCAAGGCGCTCCTTCGAACAAAATCAAACTTCGTGACATACAGACGAGAGCATTTTATATAGCATTTTATAACTGTATAGAACTTACCATTAACTAGCCAGAATATTTTGATCGGTGGTGACGAAATGACATCACAACGCACTTCAAGTGGTACTAAGATGTCCGGGTCGAATACGACTTCAGTTTCCGGATCTAGAGATATTTTGGGCAGCTGAGCTAAAAACAAATTGGAAAGAACCAATTACGAAAATCATACAAGTGGGTTTTTTTTAACAAGGTCTTCGTAGGAGCTATGGCAGTAGCCAAACGCTCCTTTAATGACCCAAGCCACTTAAATATACAGTTCGCGACAAAAACGTCTCCTGAGATTCCCCCATGGTATGAATTCGAGCCCCCCCCCACCCCTATACCAGACCTACGATTATAAGGTCGGAAAACGTCATAGATAGGGGGCACAGTGAGGGGCCTATCGTGTGAATGCCACATTTCCGTTAAGCTGGCATTGAAATCTAATTGCCGCGCACCAGTGTTCGTATTAGAGCAACTTTGGTGAAAAATCAATCATGCGGTAGAGATGTAACTTCTACATTTCGATTATCAAACATACCGGTGTTATTGGTGGTAAATGTAACGAGACGGGACCGATGCCCACGGATAACATGGCCGTTTACGAACAGACGAGCTTCGTAGGTCCTATTGGGTTCAAGGCCGGTGAGCAGCACTCGATTTGATGCGTCCGATTCAAAATCGAAATGGTTCCAACCTGTTTCAGTCACATCTCGGTACTCGACGGTATAATTCTGTAAATTATGATTTTCTTAATAGAGTATGTATCTGAACGATTTATCCTACCGATACTAGGTCTACATCTTCCGCTGGTAAAAATTCGAGGATCACACTGCTATTGACAAGAGCCTTCACAGACTGGATGAGCGGCGAAGTTGAAGCTTAAAGGCTAATGAGAAAGTTTTAGTCGTTTATATTGTTTGAAACTGTTCCATTAAAGGCACCCTTCACGATAAAATGGTTTCTGAGAATTCTTCCCATGATAAACCGTGACCTTCAACGATAGTACAGGGTGTCGCAAATTGGGGCTGTGAGGATGATTGCGTGTTCTCACCTGCGCTGATGATGTCGCTCTGCCGCGCGTCATTGCGGTCCTATCGGAGCAACCCCCAAATCACGGTAGTGCAGAAGCCTGCGGAACGAGGGTACTGCGAATGATGTTGTGGCACGCGATCACCTTCTCCCTTCCGCACCTGCGGACCTTACCAACTCCATATGCCAGAATGTGCGCGTTACGCCATAGAGGATAAATTATTGTCTAGACAAATATTGCACTATTAGTACATGAGATTGCGGTCCAATGAGCATGTGGTATTTAGGAGTCTTGCCCGTCGAAATATAACGTTATCAAAAAAACAAGACATAAATATTACTAAATTTATCTTCTTATTCAAACGAATAGGTAAAACAGGGAACCTACGGGCAAGCTCCCGCGTCACTGGATGACTTCGGCGCCCAATACTTTCGGGAAATGAGACCATCACGGTGTCCGCGGACGTGTGCCGCCACAGCCCTGAGTTCCTTCGACGATCCTTCTAACTCTTGGTGCATGCATCCTCCACGAGCTGCAGATGA